GTGACGTAGCTGCTCACCGGTGAGTATGTCTCGTCGTAGTCGGCGCCGTACACCTGCGTGAAGCCCTTTACGACCAGCCTCGCCTTCTCGCGCTCGACGGTGTCGTCGATGCGGTACTTGGTCGTCAGCACCCATCGGTTCTTCATAATGTTCACCCCGCGTGGGCGTTCGACCAGCTGCCAAGTCCCCATAGCGATGAGGCTACGGATTTCTTCTTCCATTGCAGCCTTCACCGCCTCGCCCTTCCAGCTCGATAGCGCCTCCTTCACCGTCATCGTGGCGATGTCCCAACGGTGTTCGGGGTCGGCATGCACGTCGGGGTCGAGCTCCGGCAGGTCTTCATCCTCCTCGGCATCGTCGTACAGCAGGTCGTCGTCGACCTCGTCGTACACCGTGGTGAAGGCAGCTGGCGGTAGGCAGGCGTGGAAGCTCAACAGCTCTGGCGGCCGTCGAGCTCGACCTGAGCGTCGCAACTCAGGCTTCGTGATCGGCACTTCTATCACGTCGCTGTCGGTGGACTCCTCACCCGCCGACTGCTTCCCTTTCTCGTCGACGGGAACGTCGTCGACCAGCTGCTTTGACCCTCCGACCGGCTGTTCGTCTGCTGCTGCCTTCGACAGCTCTCCTGTGGACTGCTCCGGCTGCCCTGTCGAGTGCACCTCTGCTTTTGCATCCTGTTCGACCGGCTCCCCTGTCTGGTGCTCCCCTGTCGTCGACGGCTTCTCATCCTGGTCAACGAGCTTGGCGCCTTGTCGACCGCCGGCGATGCCACGGGCCGGCGCCACAGGCGACACCTCAAGGCTCCCCTCATCGTCGGTGGTCGACACAGGCCAAGTTGCGACGGGGAACAGAGGAGCAGGAGCAGGGGAAAGGGGAAGAACCTCCACAACCTCCTCATCACCGGGTCCGTCGACTTCGGCGAGCAACGGAACCGTCGCTGTCGATGTATCCGTTGGCGGGTGCGCCTGCGTCCGCTGCGACGCCGGCCCATACTTCGCCTTCCACACCTCCAGCGACAGCGTCTCGTAGAAGATCACCTCGACCGACGTGACCACCTTGTTGTCGGTCAGGTCGAGCACTTCCCAGCCCTTGCTCTCTGGCGACACACCCAGGTGAAGTCCCCAGCGAGCCTTCGGCGCCAGCTTCCCACCACGCTGCTGCTCGGGAACCATGAACTGCACCATGCATCCCCACACCCGCGCCAGCGTAAGGTCGGGCTTTTGCCCGGTCAGCAGCTGGTACGGAGTCGTCCCCGGCGGCGTCGTCGACCGCTCCAAGCAGTTGCGCACCCAGACAGCTTGTCGTAGAGCCAGGTGCCACCAATGGTGCTGCACGCCCATGTGCAGCAACATCGTCCGCACGGACTCGACGGCCGTGCGCATCTCCCGCTCAGCCATGCCATTCTGCTGCGGAGTGTAGGGGCACGTCAGGTCGTGGACGATGCCCTTCTCGTCGACGAAGTCGGTGAACGCCTTCCCAAGGAACTCCCCTCCTCGATCGGAGCGAAGCGACAGCACCGACTTCTTCGTCTGCCGTTCCACCAGCACCAGCCACCGCTCGAATTCCCGCAACACGTCGCTCTTCTTAGCGACCGGCATTGCCCATACAAATCGAGTATGGCGATCCTTCAGCAGCAGGAAGTACAAGCTGCCATCCTTGGCAGCCACCCGAAATGGCCCGCACAAGTCAATGTGCACGACAGCTAGCGCCTCCGCTGCATCCGAGCCCTTGGCGGGGAAGGTGTGCCGCGCCAGTTTTCCTCCAACGCACGAGACACACGGCGGGTCTGCTCCGGTTGACGACGTGATGTCGAGCCCAGTAGCAACATCGTGCTTCGCCGAGCTCTTGATCGTGTCGACGCTGACGTGGGCAAGCCGCGCATGCATCCTGTCGGGGGTCGTCTTCGTCCCCGAGACGATCGTCCGCAGAGCCACCACCTCGGTCGACTGCGTCTGCGTCGAGCAGGGGCGAAGGTCGGTGCAGAGGACTCGTCCGGTGTAGCGTGCTCGACCGAGCACCTCTCCGGTCGCGGCGACGAGCAGCATCTCATCGCCATCGCCCTGCAGTAGCACGCCGCTCTCCTTCAGCTGGCCAGCAGACAACAGGTTCGCCTGAACACCCGGAACGTAGAGCACGTCGGGGATGAGGACCCGCTTCCCGGCCTCCCCTTGCAGAGCGACGGTTCCACGACCCTCGACAGACTGCAAGGCCCCGTTGAACCCACGCACGTGCTTCACTCCGTCGCTCGGCCCCATGTCGACGAAGACCGATTTCGTCCCCATCAAGTGGTGGGAGCACCCGCTGTCGAGCAGCACCGCCATCGGGTTGGCCTGCACAGCTGCTGCCACCGCCTGGAAGTCCTCGCCAGCCTCCGGTGCTAGCGAGACTGTCGGCTCCACCACGCCGACCATCGAGCACGACGCCTCCCCGTCGTCTCGGCTCTTGCCGCTGGAGCTGTCGACGTCCTTCGTCGACGACGTCTTCTTCGACGCCTGCTTCTCCTTGCGCGGCTTCTCATTTCGACGGGGGCGACGACTGGCCGATCGACCACGGTCTCCCTTCTTGTCGTCCTCGTCGCTGTCATCGCGGTCGGGGCATTCGAAGGAGAGATGGTCGGGGTCGCCGCAGATCCAGCACTCCCGCCGTCGACCACCACCTCGTCGACCCTTGTCCCGCGTCGACCGCTTCTCGTCGACGTCCTTTGTCGACCGCCCACCTCCGCTACCACCTCCGCCTGGCTTCCCGCGCTGCTCCCACTGGCTATTCGGCTTCGTCGGTGCAGCGTAACTCGCCTGCGGAAGGAACTCCGTGGGCTGCTCTGCCTCCTGCATTGCCTCATCCTGGAGAATGTAGCTGGTGATGGAGTCCTCGTCGAGGGACTCACGCGTGCCGGGCACCATCATCATCCTCTTCATGAGATTGTAGCTGCGCGGCAAGCCCTTGACGATGTGGGTGATGTAGGACGCCGTCGAGTATTCGGCGCCCGCCATTCGCATTTCAGCCAGGATCCGTCGAGCACGGTTGCAGTAATCCGTCGCCGACTCCTGCTCGCCCATCCGAAGGTGAGTCATCTTCTCCTCCAGCTGCCCGATGTACAGGTCGTCCCTGACCTGGTACGTCGACATGATGAAGCGCCATGCCTGGTGGCCAGCATCTAGTCGCTCTCGACAGCTCCTCAGCGCTAGCTGCACCACCGGCGAGCAGCACCTCGAGATGACCATGAAGGTGAGCAGGTGAGCCGAACGAAACTCCCCGCGCAGCCCGACATCCTCCTCGGGCGGAATTGGCACGGTGCCGTCGGCGAAGCCCTTCAGCCCGGCGACCTCCAGCTGAGGTTCGATCGACTCCCTCCAGGTGATGAGGTCCCGTCGACCTTGCAGCGGAGCGACGGAGATCCGGTCCGGCGAGAACTTGAAGTAGCCATACGCCGGTGCAATCCCGCCCGCTGTCACATGTGTCATCACCGAGAGCCCTCCACCACTTCGTGGAGGAGAACGGCGTCGAACATCGACGTCGGCATTCGAGCTTCCTGCAGTGGCCGTCGACCGCTGCACTCGCGCCTGGATTCCGTCGGCACCACCGTCGACTTTGATCACTCCTCTCTGCCTCGTGCCTTCGCTGCCGTTGACTCGTGCACCACCGTCGACATCGTCGTCGACGCCACCTTCGTTGCGCACCGGTCGGGGAGAAGTAGGACGGGAAGGGTGTTCCGTCGCCCACTGCGATCGGATGCCCAACTCGGCGATCACCAAGGGGATCGTCCCGTATTTGCCATTTGCGTGGCGTCTCCTCGCGTCAGCCAAGCGTGCCTCCAAGGTGTCCGCTACGCCCGCATCAACTACGGGGTCGACCATGGCGACTATCGCTGCTGCCGGCCTACGAACGACTTAGTAGGTGCAAAAGTCGGCTCCTATCTGAAGGTCGCGTGTTCGATCCACGCTCACCGCACCATGCGGAGATAAACTCTACAACGGTAGTGTGCTAGGCTACAGGGGTTGGCACGAACTACTAGAGGTGATCTTAGCTTTGCTTAGTTCCTTAGTGTTTGCACATTCACGGAAGAATTTGGCAAGAGTTTCCACTAGCAAAGTTGGAATTCCAGAATGATACAAGAAGCAATGACAACAATGACTACATCAGGCACCTAGCAATCCTGCAGCTAGCCTGGTCGACTGCCAACGCAGCTCGGTCGACCGCCTGCCAGCATTGCGTAGAGGAGCCGCGCCAGCATTGCAGAAGGGCGACCTGCCAACAAAGCAGGTCGACGGCGTGCCCCGTAGAACACAGCAGTGCGCGCGCTCGCAGGTGTGCGCAGACGATTGGCCCAACTTGCCTCGTTGGGCATCCGTCGGCTGTTGTCTGCGCCTGACGAGCCACATCGACTTCGGGATACCAGCCCGAAGTCGCCTGCGCCATCGCGATCTCGACGACGTTCGCGTGCCTCCGCAGAACTCGTCGAGCAGGTTACCCGGTCGACCTGGTCGACCCCTGGTGCTCTGGTCGACTCCCAGGTGCCTCCCATCGACCACTGGGTCCCTCTGGTCGACCACCGGGCGCTCCTGGTCGACCACATCTCCCGTCGAGCTACCCCTTGGTCGACGGACCCCTTCCGTCGACCAGAACTGCTCCGTCAACCTCCCGGTCGAACTGCCGTTCGACGGGACGCTCCGTTGACCTCCCGGTCGAGCTGCAGTTCGACGGGACGCTCCGTTGACCTCCCGGTCGAGCTGCAGTTCGACGGGATGCTCCATAGACCTCCCCGTCGAACTGTAGGTCGACGGACTGCTTCGTCGACCTCTCGGACGGCTCACCCGTCGCCCAGGCCAGTCAAATGCAGCTGTCAAGCATCCTGGTCGACAGCAACACCACAGCGGTCCACTGCAGCTCGACATAACCTGTCGAGCAGCTATCCCACTGTGAGCGGTCGGCTGCTACTCCCGTACATCCGACCAAGTTGTCGGCGTTGCCCAAGCGAGGGCGGGGCCAACACTCCATTCCCGTTAACAACCTCCTCCACCTCCGCCTCCTCCGCCACCTCCGCTGCCTCCGCTCCCTCCGCCACCACCATCGCCACCGCCGCCTCCATTGCTGCCGCCGTTGCCACCACTCCCACCACCACCCCCTCCCTCCACTGCCTCCACCACCACCTCCACCGCCCCCTCCACCCCCTCCGGCACCCTTGCCTCCCTTGCCCTTGCCAGTGCGGCGTCTTCCGCTCGGGGCAGACGCAGCGGCGACCGACTCGAAACCAACGAGGTCGGCCGCAGCACCAAAGGCAACAAAGGGCAAGAGGGGGGAGGGAGAACACCCTTCAAAAACGGGGGTGTGAGGGTCACCACGAGAGGCTCCTACAGCGACTATACTCTTCTCTGCTGCTAGGAGGGCCGTCTCGAGGAGGTCAACGGTGAGAGTGGTGGGGAAAACTGAGAGGAAGTGGTCCCTGACTACGCGGAGAGAGTCAGGGAGCCGGGTGACTATGTAGTAGAGGGTGATGTACATGGGGGGGGGGGGTTCTTGGCGCAGAACTCAGCCGGAAGCGCAGCGCGGTAGCGAGTGTCACTAGTGCGGAGGTGCGTAATGAGGTCAGCGATTTTGAGAAAGGCAGAAAGGTCAGGGAAGAGGTACGGTAGCATGAGGCGGCTCAGTGCAGAAGTGGCAGGGGAAGAGTAGCGTGCAACTACGGCGTCGTACAAGGTCTGAGCACTCTTGTACTGGCTAAAATGTGCACGCTCAGTGGTGGGTAAGTGGCGGCGCACAGCAAGGCGAGCAGCACCATCACGCATGGCCCATTGTGAGCGAACAGTGGCGTCAGCATCAGCAGCAAGGGTAGGAGAGGCACCAGAAGTGAAGTCAAACAGGGAGAGACCGTCTGCCCTATCGCACTGTAGGAAAAGTTGCATATCATCTACCCAGACCTCAAAGTCAACTATCCGGCCCTCAGCGTCAAAGGTGAGAACACCAGGGGAGGCCATGATAGCAGTAGACAGGCAGTGAGTACAGTGGGGCAGTGTCAGAGGTCCACTGGTGATCCCCGATCGATCCTAGGGAAGGGTTACAGGCACGTTTGCCTGGGGGGTTATGGGCGCACTGACCCGCTACTGAGACAAGCCCTTTTATCCCAATGGTCTAGTGGTTGGGATTCTGAGATGGTATCCAGAGCGAAGGTCTGGGGTTCGAACCCCGGTGTATGCACTTCGGGCATCCCAGTGCGGGGGGGTGTCAGAGGTCCACTGGTGATCCCCGATCGATCCTAGGGAAGGGTTATAGGCACGTTTGCCTAGGGGGTTATGGGCGCACTGACCTGCTACTGAAACAAGCCCTTTTATCCCAATGGTCTAGTGGTTGGGATTCTGAGAGGCAGGGCACTGCACTGGCAGAGATGCTGCTCTTACCAGGCAAGTGGGGCAGTCCCGGGCAGGCCGACAGGCGGCAGCCCCTTGGCTGCGTTGCGGCTCGGTGGCTCGGCTGCTGGGCGGCTCGGCGGTCGGGCGGCTCGCCTACTCGGCGGCTCGGCTGCTGGGCGGCTCGGCGGTCGAGCGGCTCAGCTGCACGGCGGCTCGGGTGCTGGGCGGCTTGGCGGTCGAGCGGCTCGGCTGCAGGGCGGCTCGGCGGTCGGGCGGCTCTGCTGCTCGGCGGGTCGGCTGCTCGTTGGCTGGGCTGCTCGGCGGCTCGGGCGCTGGGCTGCTGAGCGGCGACGGGGCCGTGGAAGGGCAGCGACGGGGTCGCTGAAAGGGCGGCGACGGGCCGCTGAAAGGGCGGCGACAGGCTGCTGAAAGGGCGGCGACTGGGCCGCGGAACGGCGGCGACGCGGCCGCTGAAGGGCGGCGACGGGGCCGCGGAAGGGCAGCAACGAGGCCGCTGAAAGGGCGGGCGGCGACGGGGCCGCTGCAAGGGCGGCGATGGGGCCGTGGAAGGGCGGCGACTGGGCCGCTGGAGGGCGGCGACGGGGCCGCAGAAGGGTGGCTACGGGGCTGCGGAAGGGCGGCGTCGGGGCCACGGAAGGGCGGCGACGGGGTCGCTGCAAGGGCGGGCGACGAGGCCGTGGAAGGGCGGCGACGGGGCCGCGGAAGGGCGGCGACAGGGCCGCTGAAAGGGCGGCAACGGGGCCGCTGAAAGGGCGGCGACGGGGCCACGGAAAGGGCGGCTACAGGGCCGCCTAAGGGCGGCGACGGGTCCGCAGTAAGGGGCGGCAACGGGGCCGCTTAAAGGGCGGCGCGACGGGGCCGCAAGGGCGGCGCGACGGGGCTGCAAGGGCGGCGCGACGGGCCCGTTAGGGGCCGTAAGAGGGGCCGCTAGAGGCCTCGAGGGGGAACGACACGGGGAGCGACTCGGGCAGGGGCCAAGCGCGCTCCGGGCAGGAAAAAAAATAGGTGGGCCCTAGGAACAGTTCACACGAGGGAACCACCTCTATACCATGTGAAGATTAGAACGAGTGAATGATTGAACTATGAAAGAGTTGGGTACAAATAGTAACCCTAATTGGGTTGTACCCCTTATGGGCTACCCCACTACAGCACACAAATGTATAAGCTATAATGTTCTGACAGTGTCCTTGAGATCCACCCTCGGCTTTGCCTTGCTTGTTCTCTTGCTTGAGTGGTCTTGTGACCACTGTTAGGTTTGGCTGTCCCCTAATTCACCTCTGGGGGTGTGTCAAAACGTATTGTTCTATTCATTTCACTCTAGGTTGTGTAGGGTTCTTTCCTTAGAGGGTACAACATTTCACTCTCGACAGTCTTGTATCCCTCTCCCTTACCTAATCGACATTCTCACCTAGCTCCTAGTTCTAACATCCACTCCGGTGTGCGCATCTGGAATAGACTGCGTGTGATTCTACTGACCCCTATTTCTTGCTTTTGACACTGATCCCCCACACCCCCGTCCCCTTTGCCCTCTCCTCCCTGCCTCTTAGTGCCCTGCTGGCATCAAGCAACGTGGGGCACTGAAGGAGCAGCAGAGGCACCAGCGGAGGTAGCAACAGAGGGAGTAGCAGCGGGTCCTCATTGGCTAACAATCAGCCAAGAGAGGTAAGATAAGAGTATTGCTTTACCAGTAACTCCGCTTTCACCTTTTTTCCACATCTCCCCATTGTAATGTTCCCTTTCTACTCGACCACCTGGCCACCAATGGCGAACCCAAGGCTCCCCCTCTTTCTTTCAGATGTAGAGCAGCAGGTGCCCCCTGGCAGGTGCAATACTTATACCCTTGGTATGGTGAGGTGAGGGTCAGGTCCCCCCCCCAGCCCCCCCCTTGGGTGCGCTACAGCAGCCGTGGACGTGCAGCTGATGTCACTGAATCCGCACCACCTGTTTCCATTCACTCATTCTCTCACTCCCGCATCCCGCCCTCGTGCCCTTCCTATCCCGCCCCTACCCACCCCCCCCTGTCAGGGGGAGCAGCGCCCACCGCCCAGCAAACAACAAGCGGCATGCAGAGGGGAGTGCATCTGCTGCACCCATCATTCTGTTTCAACTGCACCCATCCGCACCGCAGTAAAGAGCTTCAACCCGCTCCCCCCACATGCCATGCTCCATCATCCCTCGGCCTTCTGCCACTTGCTTCCGCGCTTTGCTGCCTTAGTCCGGGGAACATGTGATGCGTAGTGGCCGTGGTGAGCCATGCCATGTACACAGGTGGGCATTAGAGCGTTCAGATCAGATCCAGGAATGAGTGCAAGCTAGAGGCCGGATTCACAGCTAAAGTTTCTGAGTGGCATGGAATATGACTGCAGCTGCTTGCGTGGTCTCTGGTGGTCAATGGTCAGTGGTCAGTGGTCTCAGGTGGTCAGTGGTCAGTGGTCAGTGGTCTCAGGTGGTCAGTGGTCAGTGGTCTCTGGTGGTCAGTGGTCAGTGGGCAGTTGTCTCCGGTGTGCCCAGGTGGTCTAAGAAACACAGCATGCAGCAAGCAGTACTACAGATGGCAGGTACAGCCAAGGCAGAGAAAAGTTTTGTGCAAGCTGATGAGATGAACAAAGTAGGGCTCTGCGGGCAAACAAGAGCGAAACGGTGAATATCTGTCCAACCTCGAGATGTGGATTTGTACAGAATACTAAACTCAATTGAAAATAAGAACAGCCAATCGTGCGTACTGGTTTGAACGCACAGAAGGATTGTCATCTCCACAGGTATCGCAGAGGAAGTCCCCCGGTCTTGCACTTGCACACCATGGACTCTGCCACCTTGCAAACTTCAGATGCAACGTCATCCAACGGTTGAGATGCGTCCACCACCTGTTAACAAACGTTTTGACGGATCATATTGTAACAGTGGAATGATTGGTGGTCAGGCAGGGGAGGTGAAGCACACGCACAACACGCAGTTGAAAAAGATGGGATGCATTGCACGGGTCACAAGGGCAGAAAGGTTCTCACCACCCAAGTGTCGTCTTTCAGTGCATGGAAATGCTGAGCCACTCGTTGCTGGAACTCCACCTTCTCGTACCGCTCCCCACCATACCCACCCCGCTCTGCTGCATGCTGAGAATTGTTGTAAGCAACGAGTAGCATGTTGGAAAAGACAAGGAAAGGGGACATGAATAATGCAGGAGGCAGAAGGGGGGAAGTGGATGGATGCAGGTGTCGGTTTGTACTTGCACGAGGAAGGATGATGAAACACGAGTTGACAGCAATATATGTGGGAGGATGATGGAAGGAGATGAAAGCATACCTGTGGGTCGATGTCAAGGTAGATTACAACGTCTGGTGCTGGTAGGCCCACTTCCGTGGACTGATGGGCGATGGGGGTACAACATGAGACGGTGGAAATAATTTGATTGCAAAGCAAACAAGGGTGAACCAATATCGCACAAAAAAGCAAGCATGATGGCACCGAGACATGGAGATGAGAACCGAATGTGGAAGGGGCAAAACAGAAGCTCAGCATTGGTGAGCTGCTGGATCACCTTGCACCAGTGCACGTCGAGGCCCTTGGCGGCTGAGAATGCGATGCCTGAGAACGAGTAGCGGTCCACCACCAGTGTTGTGCCCTCCCCCATCAACCCCTCCATCTCTTCCCTGGCGAACAGGGACGCGGGGAGGGCAGGCCGTGGGGGAGCAGCAGACAGGCAGGCAGGCAGAAGAACAAGTGAGCAGTTGCAGCGTGGGTGGGAGGCGAATGTTGGGAGTTGAGGAGGGGAGCGCCTCTGAAGGCGCCGCACGGCCTTCTTCATGCGCTGTCTGTCGCCACACCTGCTCACTGCGCTGCCACCGCCTCTCCTCCGCCTGTCACACATGACCCCTGCTTTTGAGAAATTGCAGGGAGGTTTTGGAGATTCTCAAAAACACCCTGCTGCACCTGCCGCACATGAGCCATGAGCCGCCCTGCTGCACCTGCCGCCTGTGTCATGAGCCGGCCATCTCCTATGCCCTCCCCCTGCCGTGCTGCTGGTAGGAGGGGAGTGGGGGATAGTGAAGGCGAGTACAGGAGTGTACAAGGTCTTCACGATCGATTGCAGAACACCCAGGTGCCGCGCATCCTCTTCTTGCCGCGCCGCCACCCTCTCCTGCCTGCCCTGCTCCTGCTTTGCAGAGAAGAGGGCGGGGCAGGGAAGGGAAGAAAGACAGGGGCAGCTGGCAGCAAATTGCATGATTGCAAAAAGGCTCGCGCACGTGATGCCATGCAACCGTGCATGTGATGGCATGCGACCGTGCATGAGATGCCATGCAACCGTGCATGAGATACCATGCAACCGTGCATGAGATGCCATGCAACCATGCATGTGATGCCATGCGACCGTGCATGCAATACCATGCGACCGTGCATGCAATGCCATGCGACCGTGCATGTGATGCCATGCAACCGTGCATGAGATGCCATGCAACCGTGCATGTGATGCAATGCGACCGTGCATGTGATGCCATGCGACCGTGCATGTGATGCCATGCGACCGTGCATGTGATGCCATGCAACCGTGCATGTGATGCCATGCAACCGTGCATGCGATGCCATGCAATCGTGCATGTGATGCCATGCAACCGTGCATGTGATGCCATGCAACCGTACATGTGATGCCATGCAACCGTGCATGCGATGCCATGCGGCCGCGCATGAGGTGCCATGCAACCGCGCATGTGATGCCATGCAACCGTGCATGAGGTGCCATGCGACCGTGCATGTGATGCCATGCGACCGTGCATGTGATGCCATGCGACCGTGCATGTGATGCCATGCAACCGTGCATGAGATGCCATGCCACCGTGCATGAGATGCCATGCGACCGTGCATGTGATGCCATGCGACCGTGCATGTGATGCCATGCGACCGTGCATGTGATGCCATGCGACCGTGCATGTGATGCCATGCAACCGTGCATGTGATGCCATGCAACCGTGCATGAGATGCCATGCGACCGTGCATGTGATGCCATGCGACCGTGCATGTGATGCCATGCGACCGTGCATGTGATGCCATGCGACCGTGCATGTGATGCCATGCGACCGTGCATGTGATGCCATGCAACCGTGCATGAGATGCCATGCCACCGTGCATGAGATGCCATGCGACCGTGCATGTGATGCCATGCGACCGTGCATGTGATGCCATGCGACCGTGCATGTGATGCCATGCGACCGTGCATGTGATGCCATGCAACCGTGCATGTGATGCCATGCAACCGTGCATGAGATGCCATGCAACCGTGCATGTGATGCCATGCGACCGTGCATGTGATGCCATGCGACCGTGCATGTGATGCCATGCGACCGTGCATGTGATGCCATGCAACCGTGCATGTGATGCCATGCGACCGTGCATGCAATACCATGCGACCGTGCATGCGATACCGTGCGACCGTGCATGCGATACCATGCGACCGTGCATGCGATACCATGCGACCGTGCATGCGATACCATGCGACCGTGCATGCGATGCCATGCAACCGTGCATGTGATGCCATGCGACCGTGCATGCAATACCATGCGACCGTGCATGCAATACCATGCGACCGTGCATGCGATGCCATGCAACCGTGCATGAGATGCCATGCAACCGTGCATGTGATGCCATGCCATCACGTTCCCTCATATGATTTCCACAATTAATCCCTCTCTTTAACCTCCAACCCCCCCCCCCACGTCACCCCCCCCCCCCCCCCCCCCCCCCCCCTCTCCCGCATGTATCACTCCCTCCCATCTCACTTCTTCTCAAATCGATTCGCCGCAAACAGCTCGTGAATCCGACGGTCCTCAAACTCCTTCGTTTCTCTCAAGTACGCGTCTATCTCGCGTCCGATTGTTGTGCTGCGATCTGGGAACCGCATCGCCTTCACTGGTCCTAAATCCCGGGATTTTAAATGCTCCACCAGCCGAGCCACCTGCGACGACTTGCCGCTTCGATCCAACCCTTCAAGCACAATCAAAGCCCCGCGTTTCGCGCCGCAATTCGAGGCGCCTGTCGGGCTGTGCGCGAAGGCGGATCTGGAGGAAGAATCCGACGCATCAGCCATCAAAGATCGGACTCTGCTAGCTCCGCGACACGTTCCCAAGCGAGGGCGAATGGACACAAGGGGAAGAGAGCGCGGAGAGTCGGATGGACACACGAGATTCCTGACGGAGCTACGACCAGGGTTGGGAGAGAGGCTAGATCCGAGCCTGTGGACGAGGTTCGTAGCAAAGCTGATAGCGAGAGCGAACGAACGTCTGCGGAAGGTGTTTAACTGCGAGGAATCTCCGATATGAAGGACGGGACTAGAGCGTAGGTGAAGGGAGCGAACCAGTAAGCCCATGTGCTCACTCGCCCCACCCAGCCAATACGGGCGAGCAAACTGGCAGAAAAATGCGGAGCGTATGGAATGCGGCGATGAATGATAGCAGATGTTGGAATGGCTCTGGTGCAAAACGAGCGTTTCGAAATATTCACACCATAGCCCACTCGTTTTATCTCCAAGACTTTGAACTTTGCTGGTATAAACGTGTTTTTTCTTTTTTTGCATATATTAATTATACACCGCCCTCCAGCGGCCCCGTCGCCGCCCTTCAGCGGCCCCGACGCCGCCCTTCAGCGGCCCCGTCGCCCGCCCTTTCAGCGGCCCCTTCGCCGCCCTTTCAGCGGCCCTGTCGCCGCCCGCCCTTTCAACGGCCCCGTCACGCGCCCTTCCGCGGCCCCGTCGCCGCCCTGCAGCGGCCCCGTCGCCGCCCTTCCACGGCCCCATCGCCGCTCAGCCGCCCAGCGCCCGAGCCGCCGAGCAGCCCAGCCGCCGAGCAGCCGAACCGCCAAGCAGCCGAACCGCCAAGTAGCCGAGCCGCCCGACAGCCGAGCCGCCGAGCAGCCGAGCCGCCCGACCGCCGAGCCGCCCGACCGCCGATCCGCCCTGCACCCGAGCCGCCGAGCCGCATCGCAGCCGAGGCGCTGCCGCCCGTCGGCCTGCATGGGACCGCCCCACTTGCCTGGTAAGAGCAGCGTCTCTGCCACTGCACTGCCCTGCCCCACTGTACTCACTACCTGTATACTGCTGTCATGGCCTCCCCTAGTGTTCTCACCTTTGAGAATGAGGGTTGGGCAGCTGACTTAGAGGTATGGGTAGATGATCTGCAGCTTTTCCTACATTGTGGTAGGGCAGACGGTCTCTCCCTGTTTGACCTCACTTCTCGTGCCTCTCCTGCCCCTGCTGCTGATGCTGACGCCACTGTTCGCTCACAGTGGGCTACGCGCGATGCTGCTACTCGTCTTGCTGTGCTCCGCCACTTACCCACCACTGAGCGTACACACTTTAGCCAGTACAAGAGTGCTCAGACCTTGTACGACGCTGTAGTCTTCCCCTGCCACTTCTGCACTGAGCCGCTTCATGCTACCGTACCTCTTCCCTGACCTTGCTGCCTTTCTCAAAATCGCTGACCTCATTACGCACCTCCGCACTAGTGACACTCGCTACCACGCTGCGCTTCCGGCTGAGTTCTGCGCCAAGAACCCCCCCCCCCATGTACATCACCCTCTACTACATAGTCACCCGGCTCCCTGACTCTCTCCGCGTAGTCAGGGACCACTTCCTCTCAGTTTGCCCCACCACTCTCACCGTTGACCTCCTCGAGACGGCCCTCCTAGCAATAGAGAAGAGCATAGTCACTGTAGGAGCCTCTCGTGGTGACCCTCGCACCCCCATCTTTGAAGGGTGTTCTCCCTCCCCTCTCTTGCCCTCTGTTGCCTCTGCTACTGCGCCCGACCTCGTTGGTTTCAAGTCAGTCGCCGCTGCGTCTGCCCCGAGCGGGAAACGCCGCACCGGCAAGGACAAGGGGGGCAAGGGCGCTGGAGGGGCTGGAGGGGGCGGTAGAGGTGGTGGTGGAGGCAGTGGAGGGAGTCGGGGTGGTGGTGGGAGTGGTGCCGGGGGTGGCGGCGGCGGAGGCAGCATGAGGCGGGGTAGGCGGTGGAGGTGGCAGAGGGAGCGGAGGAGGCGGAGGTGGCGGAGGAGGCGCAGGTGGCGGAGGAGGCGGAGGTGGAGGAGGCGGCAGAGGCAGCGGCGGCGGCGGTGGTGGAGCGGGTCGTGATTCTGCGCAGAGGAGTGGCTACGGTGGTGGTCCATGCTAGCAGCAGCGGAGTTGTGTGACCCTGTCCCCTCAGCAACTTCGTAATTGGTACACTGCGCGCAAGCGCGGTGGGGGTTTTGGTCCCTGCACTTACGTCCTCCGTACCAGCGACCGAGCTGGTGAGCAGTGCGGAGGCCCGCACTCCACCCAGCGCTGCTTCGATCGCCTAACGGACTCGTGGCGTCGCCAGTTCCCTGAGGCGTTAGAGATCCCTCGATGGGGAGATCTGTCTATGGCGGGGGTTGCCGTCTTTGATCTTGACTATGATGCTATCCTTGCTGCCATGTATTCTATGACTACTAGTGTTGAGGGTGACTGTTTCCTGTGTGTACCGCCTGACCCAGGCATTGGGGCCACTACTCTAGGTGCTGGTGAGGCTGCTGCTCTAGGTGCTAGTGCGTTTGTTGCCCCAGGTGCCAGTGCATTCGCTGCCCCAGGTGCCAGTGCGTTTGCTGCCCCAGGAGCCACTGCGTCTGCTGCCCCAGGTGCCAGTGCGTCTGCTGCCCCAGGTGCTGGTGAGTCTGCTCTCTCAAGTACTACGTCGGCACAGGCCTTCCACACCTTCACCCTTGACTCGGGTGCGTCCCGCTCCTTCTTTCGAGACCGCACCACTCTTACCCCGCTCAGTCGGCCGGTTGCAGTCTCCCTGACAGACCCCTCTAGGGGTCCTATCCTTGCTAGCTTCTCCACTGTCTTACCGTGCCCTGCAGCACCCTCTGGCACCCTATCAGGTCTCTACCTCGCCTTGTTCTCTACGAACTTGGTGAGTGGAGCGGACCTACACGATAGGGGGGTTGACGAGTTCACTCCTGCGAGTTAGCGAGTGACCCACTGCACGTGTGCTCGGACAGGCCGACACTTGGCCACGTTCATCCGTCGGCCAGGGTCGAGCCTGTACACCTTTACTAATGCATCTCCTCCGGCTGCAGAGTCTGCCGAGATAGCTGCGTCGAGTCATGTGTTTGCTGCAGCGTCCAGGTCTGGTCCTAAGTGTGCTCCCTGCTTGTGTCGTCTGCTGTCCCACCAGACTCTCCTTTGGCACCACCGCCTTGGTCACCCCTCCTTGCCTCGTCTTCGAGGCATGACCTCCTGTGTCCTTGTCTCTGGTCTCCCTCGGTCTCTCTCTCCTCTACCTCCGGGGTCTGGCCCTACCTGCGTCCCCTGCGTCGAGGGGCGACAGTGCGCCGGCCCTCACTTCTCCGAGTTTCCTCTGACAGAGGCTCTCCACACGGAGTGTGGGGCCCAGCCGGCGTCAGTGAGCAGAGGCGCGAGCAGTACTTCCACAGTCTTCCCCTTGCGTAGCAAGGATGACGTCACTGAGGTGTTGATCAACTCGATCGGCGCAGCTCGTCTCCAGCTCCGGCAGAGCTTCGGCTCGGACTTTCCTGTTCTGCGTCTGCACTCGGACAGAGGCGGGTAGTTTTCCTCTGCCCGTCTGGGAGCTCTTTGTCGTACACAGGGCATCCGCCAGACCTTCACGCTTCCGGCCTCTCCACAGGAACATGGGATTGCTGAGCGCCGCATTGGCATGGTCATGGACGTCGCTCGTACGTCCATGATGCATGCGGCTGCCCCCCATTTTCTGTGGCCGTTTGCAGTTCAGTACGCAGCGCATCAGCTCAACCTTCAGCCCCGGGTCTCCTTGCCAGAGACCTCCCCCGCCTTGCGGTGGACCGGGAAGGTTGGCAATGCGTCTGCGTTTCGGGTCTGGGGATCTCGGGCGTTTCTCCGCGACTTGTGTGCGGACAAGCTGTCCCCCAGTGCTATTCCCTGCGTCTTCCTTGTCTCCCCCCCTGACGCGCCTGGGTGGCAGTTTTACCACCCCACCTCGCGTTGTGTTCTGTCCTCCCAGACGTCACCTTTGATGAGTCGGTGCCTTACTACCGTCTCTTCCCCTACTGCACTACGCCCCTCCCCCCGCCGCCACTCTTCCTTGTGCCAGGTCCTCCTCGGGTAGACCCCCTCCCCCATCAGTTTCCTGCCCCGTCATGTCGGGTCTGGTGCTAGAGGTGCTGAGCATGCGGGTGCCAGGTTTGGGGGTGCTGAGTCTGGGGGTGCTGAGAGTGGGTGTGCTGAGCCTAGGGGTGCTGAGTCTGGGGGTGCTGAGCATGGGGGTGCGGAGCCTGGGGGCGCTGGGTTTGCTCGTGTGGCCTCTGGTGCTGCTAGAGGTGCTGAGCCTGCGGGTGCCGGGTCTGGGGGTGCTAAGTCTGGGGGTGCTGAGACTGGGGTGCTAAGCTTGGGGGTGCTGAGCCTGGGGGTGCGGAGCCTGGGGGCGCTGGGTCTGCTCTTGTGGCCGCCGGTGGTGTTTCGTCGAGGCGGGAGCCGCTCTCTCCACAGGAGCTGCGCGAGTGGTTTGCCCGCCGCTGGACACGTGCTGCAGCAACTGAGGGTCCTGCTGGAGCTACTGGCGGTGCTGGTGGTGTTGGAGCTGGAGCTGCTGGGGGTGTTGGCGCTAGTGTTTCTACTGGCGCTGGTGCGTCTGGGGGTGCTGCTGAGGCTGTTGGCGCTAGTGTTTCTACTGGCGTTTGTGCTGCTGGAGCTTGAGCTGCTGGGGGTGTTGGCGCTGGTGGTGCTGCTGGCGCTGGTGCTTCTAAGGGTACTGGAGTTGGCGCTGTTGGAGTTGGAGGTGCTGTTGGCGCTGGTGCCGCCGGTGGAGGTACTAGTGCCGTCCTTGCTAGTTCTGGAGGCGCAGAGCGGCCGAGGGCGTACTTCGTTCCGCTCTTGGAGCAATTTCTTGGTCTCCCACCCTCTCCTGGTCCTGCTCCTCCCTTAGAGTGTCCACAGCTTGTCCAGTCGTAGTCACAGTTACAGCCCACCTCCCCTCTACCTGCTCCTTTTCCCTACACTGGTCCTACTGGAGGCCTTGCTGAGCGTCGTGAGCCTGCGTCTCGTCCTGCGTCGCGTGTTCGTGCTGCTCGCACTAGTC